TGAAAATTTAATACAAGGCTCTTAACATATTGTTACAATAGCAGTTGAAAAATAAAAGAAATTCATAGTCACATTTTTTTTTTACAAGCATTCAAAGTTTGAATTTTGACAACATGTGTAAAAATCACGAAAATCACGAAAATTCGCAAATTATTTTAAACTAAAAATTCATAAAAAAATTTCTTTTTAAGTCTAAGATTCGAAAATTTTTCATCATTTATAATATATTYTAGACAGATAAACCGTCTTCGCTCAGGATTGCTTTTCRTATACAATGATATAATATCATTGRATTCAAATTTAATTCCATCCATTACAGCAACCCACTTGTAACCTACTGTACATCAGAGCAACATCCACGACTTACCCGCCTTTTTTATTTTATTTTTTTTTTTTAACAGTAAATTCAAAGATCGAATCGAATACACCCAACCTAAGTACTATAAACAACATTAATTTAAGTTTAAACTAACAATTTTTTTAATTATTGTACGAAATAAGAATTTGATAAAAATTCAAATTTTCCTTTTTTTTTTTTACTGTTGTAAAATTAAAGATATTTAAAATCTATTTTTTCAATAAAAACAATGGAGAATAGTCGAGATGGTACCAATGTTTACAAGTATCTACAAAAAAATTAGTAAAGTCGAATATGTTTTGAATGTCGATAACTCAATAATATACGATCGTTGACCGTCGAAGGAAAAAATATTATTAGGCATAACAATAGTTTTTGTCCAAGCTCAACATAGAAGACAATCTGGAAGAAGCCCTAAGTCCCCAGCTAAGCAACATTGAAGTTATTTAAAACAAACTAAACTATATTAAATTATTTAACCTAGATATATCTCAATCCTTTTTTGTTCATACTATTACCATTGTTTTGTATATATTATTGTTAATGATTCATTCTTGTGTAAAAAAATATTAATGTTAAAGGCCAATAACCTTTGTTGTTGAGGCTCATTTAAAAAAAAAAAAAAAATAGTTTTTGTTTGGATAGTAATGGTTTCATTAATAGAACAATAAGCTTAATTGATATAATAATAATATACATAGAGGATACTCATAGTGAAGAGACCTTCCAGTGGAAAGAAGTCGTTAAATTAACAGCATGACGTTAGTGTACGTCCTCCGGTCCTCGTAGTCAGTGGACGTCTCGTGCCGTTGGGGTTAAGTGGGTTATATAATTGTATATAATTTTATCATACTTTGTCGTAAACTTGTAAATAAATTCTCACTTTAATATCAAATCTAACTACACGTATGGTATTACGGATTCTACTAATCGCAGATTTTTTATATTGTGCACGATTCAGAGGAAAAAAATATAAATATAGAACACCTTTTTTTTTTAAGATTCAACCGACGACGCCACGAGAATTGCTTTTGCATTACTGCCGCGCAATATCACCTATATCGACCAACAACCAATGCCGATATTTTTACAATAGATTAATATTAATTTTTCACTAAAAACTGTTTAAGTGACTTAGGTCAATTGATACATGCCTGTGTTTACGTAAAGACGTAATTTKCCGTATAAATTAAMTTTCTGCATAATGGATTTTCCGAGTGATTTACGAGACCAAATCCTTAAGTCATGGAGGTACGACACAATATCGTCGTGKGCATAATAATATTGTATACAGTCTTGTAAAGAATACTGCTCTTATTTTGTATTCGAATAACTGTGAAAAAAGTATTCAAAAATGTATTGGGCACTTTAAAACATATTCACCGAATGAAAATTCGAGAATTTTAAAAAGCATCTATTTGAATACTTGTCTGCTATTATTTATTTTCTGCTTAAACGATTTATTTTAAATAAAACAAAATGATACTACTATACTTTATAACAATACATTAATGATTGATATTTTTTATTACATTTTAGTATTTAAATTCTGTAACAAAAATCCATAATCTAGATTTTTGTATATTTGATTTAATCATGTTGGTATTCAAAGGAATAAAATG